TCTTTATGCTGAAGTCTAACCATTACCTTTAGAAACCACATGATGAGATAAATAAGATCCACCTGTGAGTATTTTCACTATATTTACACCAGAAAACAGCAGTTCAACGTCCCTAAAGTGATAAGCACTACCACCAAGAAAGAGACATCATGAAGACAAGGACCTCTCTACACAGGTCCAAGACAAAGTTGTGGAGAAGAACAGATCCTGGATGGGTTATAAAAAATTCCTAGAACCTGGACATCCCACAAAGCTTCACTCAACAGAAAGATAACCGCAGTACACCTGCTAAGGGAAGGTCATTCATCAAAACTCACTGTTCTGAGAGGTTTGGTGGAGGCCAAAAATCAGACTGATGGAGCAGAATAAAGAGAAGCTCTTGAGAGGAACTTGTTGAAGTCTTCCAAAGTTTTGAGAGTGGGACTGAGGTCCACTTTCCAGCAGGACAATGAGATTAAACACTGCTGAAGAAACACTCCACTGGTTTATGGAGAACCAGTAAAAGCTTCTGAACTGGTCCGGTCAAATCCAGACCTCAGACCAACTGAGAGCCTCAGGTTTTATTAAAAGATTTTTGAACACAAATAGCACCATCCAACCTGAAGGAGCTGCAGACAAAATGTCCTGGTTAGATGGACCAGGACCACAGAGACAGACCTGAGAAGACCTGGGGCCTCACGTACAAAGACTTGTGTGGATTTCTTACTGAAACCTGACGTACGGTCAAATCCAGAAAACGGCGTACACAAAAAAATCCAGATGTATCAAACTGTGTGTACGCCTGAATCCACGCACGGTTCTTTTGTACATCACAATTAACGTGGAACTGAGCGCAGGTAAGACTCCTCCCCTGACACGCCTTCATTAACATATAATTACTTCCTGCATGTGTGAAGGACATGTTTGTTTGATCCCTGTGATCAGAAATGATTTCTAACGTCATAAAAATAATGAATTAAATATAATGTGAGTGTAAAAAAAATCCTAAGTAAAAATAGGAATAAAATATGTTTATCACGCAAAGAACGAGTGATTGTGTGTCGGTGTGTGTGTGTGTGTGCATGCTGCTGTGTTGCGCAACCAGCTCATCCATCCATTCTGAATCTGAAAATATTAACTTTGCGCACGAGTTTATTACCATAATGACTGTAAACACAGAGGAACTTAAATGTTTGGTAGAACATAGATCTTAGTTTATTTCATAGCTGATATGAAGAAACGAGTCTCTGCGTCTCAGTAGAGTTCACATGACGTGACGTGATGTTGGAGAGTCTCCACAAACACTGCGAGCACCGCAGCTTTTGTGTGCAGTCTGTTTGTCAAGCTTTTGCTCTCCTACTTATAACATTTTCAC